AGAGTCAGGAACTCTGGAATAAGCCCAAAGTGAGAATCAAATAGAAAATATGTCCCGAGTCCTAATTTAGGAGACAAGGTTGCTGTTGAAATAAGAAATAAGGAAACAAGAATTAAAATTTTTGGAGCACTCCAGAATTTCAGATGACCTCAGTCCTCCAGAATGATGCATCTGGAATAGGAAGTCCTCTACCTGTCCAGAAGGATCACAAGATTCTATCTGAAATTTAGTCATTCATCACGAGGGGCAGCTACACATAGCAAAAATTCTTCTACTTGTTTTGGCCTGTCAAGACCATGTTGGTATGATCTGCAAAACTTTGAAACCTAAGACCTTTCTTCTATCATTAATGAGGCTTCATATTTCATTGTGAAAGAAATGCCCAAGTTGTGTTCAAAATAGCAAGCTAATATATTGTTGATTTTAAAACATATGGACAAAAAGAGAGCAGAAGAGCATTTATTTCAAGTACAACAAAATATAATGTAGTTTCAGTATTCATAACATTGGAGTTCAAGTCTGGTCTACCTCGTAGGGCTGACAATAACTGACAAAGTATGTTCTCCATTCCCTATATCCATCCCTATACCAAACATGCACGTGGTAAAGCAGATTTCAATTAACATCTGACAGTGCAAAACAAGGATGAAAATTGTGTGTGCTTGTGGCTTTCTATTCCATATATCCACCCCACATTTTCACCAGGGCATTCTTCATCTCCTTGTTCCTAAATGTATATATCACTGGGTTCAACAAGGGAGTTAGGGTGGTGTAGAAAATGCTTACCACACCATCCATGGAGTCCTCAGAAGCTGGCCTCAGATAGTGATAACCCACAGGTAGGTAGTATATGATGACTACAAGAAAATGAGCAGCACATGTTGAGAAGGCCCGTTGCCGTCCTTCACTGCTGCTAATCCTCACTACAGCTGAAATTATATAGATATAAGATGCTAGGACAAGGAGAAAGCATATCAGCGCCACAATGCCAACATCAATGATGCTCACAAACTCATTGATTTTGGTGTCAGCACAAGCCAATTTCAGCATGGCAGAAATATCACAGAAGACATAGTCAATATTGTTTCTCTGTCCATAAGGCAAATGAAAGGTGAGGGATGTCTCAAGTGTGGAGTGGAGGCAGCTTCCAATTATAGTACC